TTTGCTACGTCCCCACAACGGGGGATGTTTGTATGCAGGGTGATGGCAAGCGCCACCTTAAGTGCACTTTCCAATTTTCTTCCCACAGAGAAAGGAATGTGCATTATTAACTTGTATATGACTAGAGGGCTCTTAAATTGGAGTGGGAGACACACCTTTCCTTCCTCATGCACTGTGGTGTGAACCTGTCCTCTTGGTTAACTTCCTAAGCATCTCAGAAGGCATGTGATCATATAGAAAATGGCGGTAATAGGTGAGATCCAACAGGTAGCAGCCTGGTTTATAATAGTAATATTTATCATTTGCAAGGCATTTCTACTTGTTCAAAGATCTTTACATATGTTCTGTTATTGCCATATTTATAGGAGCCCTATTATTATTATCATCCCCATGTTGTCAGTTTGGGGGGAGGGTGAAACAGGAGTGACCCCCCCATTCCTCTCTCATCTACTGAGTTCATGGTAGGGAACTCCATGGGGGTCCCCTGATTTGTTACTCAGTGGCTGCTTTCACATGGAGGATTTTGCCCATTGCATCCACTCAACTAATAAGGATTATTTTTTTTTGCTTCCACATAATATTGTCTTCTGTTCATGTACAAATCATGATTATCCCATTCTGTCAGGAAAAAAACTACTTTATTTTAAACCTGTAAAAAATGTGTTTCCCTGGCAAGAGGCTCTTGGCGTGAGCAGTTTCTTGGGTAGTCTTGATCAAGCTGAATCAAGTGGCCCCCTGTGGTGCTTGCTAGTCATGTGGGTCATGTGACTCAGCTTCCTTGAGAGCTGTTTCAGTGTTCCAATTATCATCTAGCAGTAATTCCCAAATGTACTGAATAGGGTGTCCTGCTGTGAAGTGCAGGCTTCAAAAACAAGAAGGCCACTCCTAGTGCAGGAAATAGCCGTTTGTGAGTAGCCATTTTCAGTAAGAAAGTGGCTCAAGGGGAAAATGGTTAAAAGCCCCTGTTCTCCACATCTCTATGCCAGTCTCCCCCTCCCCAAAACCATAGCCCTCACATCTGCAATAGGTAGAAATTCAGTTTAGTTCGGTTCAATTTTATTGCATAGGGCCAGTGGTCATTACAAATGGTAGAAAATAGTATACAATAAAATACAGTACAGTAAAATTAGATTAAGACACTATAAAAGTTACATTTTAAAACATTTCATAAAAAGAGGAAAACCTTTCAGAGACATCTGTTGTATACTGGGTAATTCTTAATTGGACTACGCTGACACTAGCTTGACTTGAATTTTCATTGCTGCTAAGGCAAAAAGGGCAACCTTATAGGAAACCTCTGGCTCTGCATCAACAAGTAAAAATATAACTTTTTTGTCACAATGCTGAGGCCTAAATTGGCCAGGATTATACCTAAGAGTCTCTTTCTTGGGACTGAATAAAGCAGACAGGCCAACAGATAATGACACAATAGGTAGAAATAAAAAGTTATAAAAGGAATCACAGAAATGTACAATTCTCTTCTAATTTGCCCTGGTGGAAGTCTAACCTGAACAAACAAGTGTAAGAGGAGGTCCTGTGGGAAAACGGAAGAGTTCTTGAGGCAGCCAAGCAGACCAGTGGAACCATGACCCCATAACCTGGGAAATGGCAACATTGACAGGCCATTTCTTCACATGAAGGGGTTTGGAGAGCATAGCCAAACGATTTAAAATTAAGGAGCAGCCCAGATTTAGTATTATGTTTGCATGGTATTCTAGTTAGAATTTTCTTTGCATTGTTTATTGGGATATTGAGAGGTTCATGTGTTTGAGTCAGTGAGAGAATTTGTTCGTGTTAATATACTTCCATTCAGAGAACATCTAAACTTTGTGTCTGCTGAAATGTTTAGGTCACCAAGATCTTTCAGAAGAAAAAGAATTCGGTCACCTACAGTTTCCGTCAGTCCTTTTCCCTATATGGAATGCAGGTCCTCCTTTTTGAGAATCAGTGTAAGTCTGTTTTTAACCTGTCATATGATGTTATGAGTTGGGGAAGAATGGTTCCCCGTCAGTTTTTTTTTTAATACAGCTGTACTCTAATGTTTAAAATCCCTGAAGTTTTCTATGGTGGTTTGAACTACGGGTGTGATTCTTCATTTGGAAAAGAGTTTCTTAAGAGACAGAAAAGAGGGTCTACATTACAGGTTTCCAGGCAAGTATCCCTCTAGTTCCTCACCAGTTAGTGTCAGTGAAAAGGAATCCTGTATTTGCTTGCGGAGGGAATAAAGCAGTTGATGTGAACTCCTCATTGAGGTCTACTGGCTGGAGACCTGGACCAGGTGAGTAAATCTCCCATGACACAATGAAGTGCCTGCAGGGAGCATTTTGCCACACAGGCATTTAATCCATACCTGACATTTCATATTTATAAAGCAGTATAATTTTGCTTACCTGTTTGCTTACCTGATAAAGTGTGCATGCACACAAAAGCTTATACCCAGAATTAAACTTTGTTGGTCTTAAAGGTGCCACTGGACTCAAACTCTGTTCCTTTTCTGATCGAACATTTGTGAACCACAGTGGGATTCAAACTTTCCAGTGAGAGTTAAGTTGTTATTTCTGAGAGCTCTAAAGAGATTGGGACACGTACACATCCAGGAGATGTAGAGGAAAATGGAGTTTGGCTTGTGATGCTTGTATTCCTTCAGATTCTTATCCTGTCAGCAGTTTCTTAAAGGAAGTGCAGGGCCATTATTTTAGCTGAAGGCAGCAAGCCACAAATACACCATCCAGCATATCTGCGTGATGCAGCTGTCAGGTTCAACTTGTTCTCCAGGAATTGAATTCATAAACCTTCTGAGGACTGTGTCAATTAAAGCAAAGGCAGTGAAATATTGTTTGGATGTTGGCAAGGTGGTAGAATGATTGGCATTGCTGAGTGGTTGATAAAGTTAAAATATATTTTGGGAAGAAGTAAAGTAAATAAAGCATTTATCACCAGCATAGTCATAAGTCACGAGGGAATGGCTAAATAGATACTTCCACATTTCCTAGAATAAATCTTCATTTTAAAAACATGGCTGTTGACAGATTCTTTTCACTGGAGGCTCAGTAACAATGAAATATATTTTCTAGCACTTCTCAGTCCAAATCTAACTTTTAAAAGACTTCTATTTATTATCCCTTCCTGGGCATTGAAGAGAACGAATGTTTGGAAATCCAGATGTATATATATAACTGCTTTTGTATAAAACTAGTGTCGCTTTTCATTGCCTTTATCATATTGATGGACAGTTGAGTTTTACCAGATTTTTTAATTTCTCTGACCATACTAAAACACATGAGAATTATTTATATTCCCCATCTTGTTTCTTCTCAGTCAGGATTGCTAATAGGGTTGGCAGGTTCTCGCCTGACCACCGGCGGGGGATGTGGGGATAGGATTGCCAGATCCAGGCTGGAGATTTGGGGATGGAGCCTGGGGAGGACAGGCACCTCAGTGGGGTACAATGCCATGGAGGCTACCCTCCAAAGCATCCATTTTCTCTGGGGAAACTGTAGTCTGGAGATGAACTGGAATTCCAGGGGATCTCCAAGTCCCACATGGAGGCCAGCATCCCTATCTACTAGAAATATGTAGAGCAGGAATAGTAGTAGCCAGTGTTCCCTCTAAGCTGAGTTTGTGTGAGCTAGCTCACAGTTTTTTAGCCTCTGGCTCACACATTTTTGTCTTAGCTCAGGAATGATGGCTCCAGAGCAAACTAATTTATGCAGCTGCCAAATCACTCACTCACAACTGTAATGCCAGTAGCTCACGAAGTAGAATTTTTGCTCACAAGATTCCACAGCTTAGAGGGAGCATTGAATAGTACTGGGGGTGTTTAGTTTGTTACGTTTACAGATTATTATTTCTTAACAGATGATTTTGCAGAAACCCAATTAACTTTATTGGTTAACTGAAATAATACTAATTACATTTCAGTGTGTAGACTGGGATGCAAAGTGCTGTGTGGGCCTGACGTTTTTCAGTGCCTCTTTTGGAAGTAGTCTCTCCCTCACCTCCACAAGCCCTTTGAAACTCAGGGTCTGTCTAGAGCAAACTCTAAGAAGTCTGGGAAAGGAAAAATTGGGTGCAACCGCCATACTCACAGTGCAATTCTAAGAACACTTTCCTAGAAGTGAGCTCCATTGAATAGACTTGAGTATTAATCAGAATATACCTCCTTAGGGTTCTCTCTCATCCATACAAGTCTGCACTCTGTATCTGAATGTTGCTTGGGAATTGACTGTACCAGTATCTGTAAAGCTACCAAATCCATTTTTAACATGTTTCCAGCTATTATGACCCCATTATTCACTTTGTCTCTATCTTCACAGAAGGGTGAATACGCCAAATTTTGTTTTGAGTTGTGTTAGCTTTTGACATACAGCAGCAGCTTAGTGATGCATATTTTTATAAACTGAACTCTGCATTTGTACACAATATGTTTGGAACGTCTTGACCCTAGAGAAACTGAAGGCAGACATTGCTCTTGTTTGGGTTGTGCTGCTTGAGTGACTGGTATAAAAGGGATTTGTTGATTTGTGTATTGTATTAACCCCTCCTAGCTTGCTCCCATACTAGGAAGTTCTGGAATTCTGCCTCTTATCAAGAGTAGTTTTACTTTCCAGTTCGGCTCTTGTGGGTATAACAAAGCTGTTATGTTCTTTCTGTGTGGCCTTCTCTTCATGCTTTTTAACAATCTGGCAGCTAGAAAAATAATATATTTAAGTTTTATTTTCTTGGGAGCATCTTGATATAAAATTACCCATGCTAGAATATTTAATAAAGATTTGAATTAATAACGTCTCTGGACCTTTTGGAAGCCCTTAGTATTGAGGCCTGGTGACTTTCTGTAGATTGATAAACTCACAGTGTTCAGTAGTGGAAACCAGCTTTGTGATTTATTGTGAAAAGGATATTTTCCCCCTTGACTCAGCTTCAAGTAGTATAAAAACTGCTGTTCTTTGTACATAACTTCAAGCCTTCTCCATTTGTGGGTATTAAGCATCTATATATATTTTAAAAAAACCTTACATGGCAGTGAGTTCCAGCTGTTGGAGAGTTCTTGTTGGAGCTGTTACCATGCACTGAAGATTTCCAGATGTTCAGCTGCTAGTGCTCAAGAATGCAAATGCAGTTTGATTTGTAACAGCTATTTCATCCTTCATTATCACTGGGTGTTAATTAAATGCCCCGACAATAATCATTGTGACTCCCAAAATATAATGCCGCTTTAGATGCATGGAATAATGAAATCTGCTTTACTTTGTGACTGGTAGAGTAGCTGACATCACGTTACATCTAGGCTGCTGAATATAAAGAATACTGTGCTACCCTATTTACAAATATATTTTCCTTAAATATAGACAATAAAATTGAAAGTATTGGAATTGCCTTTCTAGGTCTAAACTACATGTTAACAACATGAGAGCATTAGAAGAGCCCTGCTGGATCAGACCAATAGTCCATCGAGTTCAGCATCCTGTCTTACACAGTGGCCAACCAGTTTGGTTAAGTGCGCGGACTCTAATCTGGGAGAACCGGGTTTGATTCCCCACTCCTCCACTTGCACCTGGCTGGATGACCTTGGGCAAGCCGTTGTTCTGATAAGAGCTGTTCTTGAAAAAACAGCAGTTTCTGTCAGAGCTCTCTCAGCCCCACCGAGGGGAAGGGAAAGGCATTTGTAAGCCGCTCTGAGACACCTTTGGGTAGTGAAAGGCGGGGTATAAATCCAATCTCTTCTCTTCTTCTTCCTGAGAACGAACTGCAAATTAAGCTGTTGAGGTTGTAAATTCTCCAGAGATGTGATAAGGATGTCAAACTCAGAGGGAAGTGAGCTAAGAAGCAAAAATACATGGTCTTCCTCAGAGATACATTTCCCTCTCTGTTCCAGCTGCTGATACAGTTCAGTTAAGTAATTTATGTGCTCTCTGACAGTCTCACCAGGCTTTTGAACCTTGCGATAGAGACGGCGTGTCAGAACCGGCGGAACGATGCACATAAACTGCCTGTAGAGCATTCCAGGCTTGCTTCGCTGTAGTAGCGTTAGCCACATGCACTCACAGCTAGCACGATACTGGCAAGAACCCTCTCGACCTTGGGTACGTCTCCAGCAGGAACTGGGTCTGGTGGGTCATTTGCATACAGCCAAAGACCTTCTCTTATCAAATAATGCTTCATGCGAAGCGCCCATATATCATAATTTGAGGAGATGAGCTTGTCTACCCACTGCGTCGTTGAGACTTGGGCCATTTTTCACCGGCTCCCTCGACTCCCCCGAGCTGTTATCTGTTACCTTCTGGTGTTGATACAAGCTCATGCCAGAGGCTTGACCGAGTTGATATTCCTCCTCCATGCCAGGAAGAAGCAACAATCCACAGCTCTCGGCTCTCAGCTTCGACAGCTTTGCAGACCTTCAGGAAACTGCTGGGCTGGTCAGCAACCATGGCAGTCACACTGGCAAGTCCAAAATGCAGAGCTGGGTGCAGGACTGAGTTCACAGTGCTGGGTTCAATACTCTGGGCCCATAACCCTGCCACGCAGCATGTTTGGAAAGTTGAACCAGCACCTCAGTCACACTTGCACTCACCAGCAGTCTTTCCACTCACCAGAGGCTTTCCAATACTCAACCACACTGAGATAGTCCAGTGGTTACTATATACAGGAATTTATTTACAATATTTACAGCTCTCCAACAAACTGCTCCGCCAGACTCCATCTACCATCAAGAGAGAACATACAGAGATACATGTCCACATATATACATTGGTCAGCCAATCAGATCAGTGCTGACTCATGGTGACTTGGCTTGCCTCTGCCAAGTCCAAACCGGCTGAATCTGGTTCAGTGCAGCTGTCAGCTGTCAGGTAGATCTTCCTGATCATGGTGCTGAAGCTTACACACCGACAGGGGAACGTGCGTATCTGTCCTCACAGAGGAGGGAGAGCTTGTACCTGAATAAAACTTGGTCTTAAAGGTGCCACTGGACTGTTTTGGACGGGGGACAGGGGGAGCTCTGCAAACTCTTTCCCAAATGTGCAGGTCTCTAATTCAGATTGGGAATGTGGCACAAGGGAGGGGAAGAAGCTTCTGCTTTCCCCCAAACCATTTTCCTGATACAAAATGATCCAGAGGACACCATTTGTCCCATTGAGGCAATAAATAAATGTGTTATTACGGTTTTCCTATTTAGTTCTTTCTCATTCTGAGAACTAAAATTCCTGTTGCTAACAGGGTGAGAAATCAAACCCACAGTCCATTAATTTTTATTAGATTTAAATAATTGAGTTCATTATTTGCTATTCTAAAGTGTCTTTATTTTTATTGTTCATATTTCAGCCAAGATTTAGGAGTAATAACTGCATTAAGCTTAAACATTTCTTTATTTACTATATATTTGTGTGACTGCATAATTCTATAGCAAACAAGTTCTAATGTTTCTGAGCCAACCATTATGAGTCATTATCAGTTGAAAACCATTGTGTTTGATCCAAAGCTGTTCTTCAGCTGTTGGAAGGGAGTCCATGTAAAATCTGAAAGGCACTTTTGGAGCCAACCCTATGTATAATTGTACTGGAAATGTTAAGGGTTAGTATTGTAGTCACCTCTGAATGAATGTTTAATAAGGTCTTGTGCTTTTTTGTAGGAAAAGGGGCAGTATAAATGTGAAAATGAGAATATTTAACTGAGTTGTGTTTTTTTTCATATTTAGAAAATGTGTATGGGGGGGAATAGGGGAAACCTTCACAACCCTGAAATCAAACTAATAAAATATTTGTACTACTTTCTAGATTATCCAAATGGCATACGGCTCACATCAGCTGTTCCAGGAGCAGACATAAAAGTTCTGATAAACTTCAATGCACCAAATCCTCAGGATAGAAAAAAATTCACTGATGATTTGAGGGAATCAATTGCAGAGGTGCAAGAAATGGAAAAGCACAGAATAGAGTGTAAGTACAAAGGTACTTATAGTAGAGTGCTTAATGATTCATTGTGGTAGGTAAATACAATTTGGCAAATATAAAAAAAGAGTTTCTTTATTTAATAAAGTTAAAACACTCATTTGAAAAGTGGGGTTAAAATTGAAAAAAATGACAAAACTCTGTCTTCAGTCTTCCACAACTCCATACTCCACATATTTTTCAATCTTAATGAAGTAATTTGCTCAGTACTACTTCATCTCTCTTCCCCCTTCCCGCCATTTTTTTTTTTTTTTTTTTTTTGTAAATTGCAGAGTATACTCCAAAAGCTGGTGTAATTTTTGCTGGAGTATATATATAAGTCTGTGTGTGTATATTTTTCCTTATGTATTCCACCTGACATCTGTGCTGGTGTTCTGTACTGTAAATTACAATGTCATAAAGGTTTTATTTTGTTTTTTCTTGGCGGTTGGTAGCATGCTCAATACAACTCCCAAGATTTTTAAAAATCTGTTACTTTGGTGTCTATTTGACTACATATGAATCTTTTTGGTTGTTCAGTTTAGAAAAAGCATCTCAAGAAGAGTGGTTTGAGTAGTGGTAGAGATAAATTTGTGGTTCTGAATGACCAGAGTATATTATTAGGTGTCATTACATGTTCCTCTGCAGGAGAGTGCATGTTGGCCCAAGGGCATACATGGCATTCCATAGACTCTGGGCTCTGCTCTGAAGCCCAGTATCTGACTGTGACTATGCATTTATGTGGGATGCTCACCTCTAGCCTGGCAAAATGATTTGCTCTGATAACCTGTAGTGATGTGGTTTTGCTTCCAGATCTTCATATTCTAGTGGTTCCTAAGCAAATAGACAGAGATTATTAACCAAAAATGTTTTACTTTAGATCTTTTTGATATCTGGTGCTAGAAAGTACTGAAAATAACATTTTATTTTATACATGACTGTATCCACTACAACCTTTGAAATAATGGAATCTTTCTCAACATTGAAACGAACAGGACTGTCTCTGTTCACACAAAGCTGTCTGTACTCGAGTCTTTACTTGTGTGGCAGCACTGTTAGATGGATGCAAAGAAATCAGACTTCGTTTGTCCAAGTGCCAGTTTAAAATGGACCGCTTTTTATTTTTTAGTTTCCTAACCACCAGACCTTAAGAATTCCGTATATTAGTGTGCTACAAGCTGAAATAGCCAGGAGGCCAGAAATCCTAAATAAGCCCTCAAAAAGATACTGCTTTATACTCAGTAGGTATGAACTGTACACTTGTATTGTTTTTCAGCTGAGCTAGAAAAACAGAAGGGTGTAGTGCGACCAAGTATGTCTCAGTGTTCTAGCCTGAAAAAAGAGTCTGGCAATGGAACGTTGAACCGAGCCTGCCTTGATGACAGCTATGCCACAGGGGAGGGACTTAAAAGGAGTGCACTCAGTAGCTCCCTTAGAGATCTCTCTGAAGCAGGTAGGTTTCCTATTTCTTTGTCGCTAAATGAATATAGACAATGCAGTTTAATATGTATGTGTTAAAATACTAATCTGGGAATATGAAAACCTAAAGATTTAAA